TGTCCATTTTTGTGGTTAAAATTCAGAAAAAATATACTTTTTTGGTACGCCAACCTTTGATCACAGTTAAATACTATACCAATAAGATCCTGAACAAATGTCCAAAAAAAAACTTTCTTCAAAAATGACTAAAAATGCACGCATTTGGCTTTCAAAACGTTTCCTCTAGATGCCCTAATTTTATGAGAAATATGCAAGAAAAGAAGAAAAATTTTACAAAAATGACATGGGCGTATTTCTATTCTTTTTTGTTGCTTTTGATCAATGTTTTTGCTTTTAAATCATTCCTTCGGTGAACACGTAGCCTAAACTGGGACTTAGCCCCATAACGCCCATGACGATTAGCCTCGACTGCTGTGCAGTATGTTCACCTGCAACACAAAAACATTTAAACAAACGTTTTTTTCTTAAGTGATCAAATTATGTGGTCACTTACCATTGGGTACAGGTGCGTGTTGTCTCCTGGTTGTTGTCCATCGAGAAAAATGCCTCGCTGAAGAATCGAACGAACTTTACTGTAGACGCTGACTTTCACTGAAATAGAAAGTGAAATCAGCTAAGCGTTTATTTATTTATTGCTATTTTATTTTCTGACCACGTGGTGTCGCCAAAGGATTCATCACAATCTGTCTACGTTCTTGCTTCACTTTGTACAGGCCAAATTCTTATCCCTGTTTGGAAACCACGGTACTTTTTTGTAGATTCTGTTTAGTATTTTTTTTTCTCTCTGTCAATTCAATGTATAATTTCTATGAAAAATTATTTTAGCTGCGCTTGAGTATTTGTTTCAGGAATAAATTAAATGTAGAAAATAATAAGTATATATAAATACATAAAATAGATATCTATTATTTATATATATAATGGGTAACCAATCACTGAGCAGGAAATATGTTTCACATATTTTATTAGTAACCTATAACATAACAGAAATTCCTCACTTTTATACAACGTCACTCTGTAAGAATCCAAAGAACTTCCTCCGGAATAACCTCATCAATTATTGTGGAAAGAACAGATCAGTGTGAGATTTTTGGAGAACGGAGTCAGAGTCAGAGGGGGAGTTAACCCAGAGGCTGACTGCCTACAAACACATCTACTTTACATATATCACGTCTTATACTTTACATATATCACGTCTTAAAGACTGTCAAAACAACAATCTGCCTGGATGCTGTTTACAGCCTTATGCACAGCATATCTTAAAGCTTGCACAGGATTCTGGGAGATTATGGATAATAAATGAAATAATTATGGGAAAATCAATGCTGTCTCAAATCTCTATGAACCTTTAATGTCACATATCAAAGGTTGTTTGAAAGGTTACAGATTAAAAACCTGAACTAAAAGCATGATATCACATCAGCTGTATTCAGATGTGAGCATGCTTTAACCTTAACATTAAAGCAGGCAGGGTTCACTCACACAGGGGGCGTTGTTGGTTTTTTCTGTGTCTGAACATTCTATATACAGTATACCAGTGTTTCCCAACCACCAACAAAAAAGGATATGTAATGAAATATAATCATATTCTAGTTTAAATTGACTAATAATGTACTCCTGTTTAGTTGAAGACAATGCTGAATTACTGGCAGGAATTGAAGAAAAAAACTCACAAAGATCTTCTTCAACAGCTCTGATTATCTTTTTTATCTGCTGCCACCTAGCGGAAGAAAATATATTTGCAATAATAAATAATAATTTTGGGACCAATTAAGTGACATTGGATAATTTTCCACGGCACACTAGTGTGCCACGACACAGCCGTTGGGAATCACTGTACCAAGATCTCTCTCTCTCTCTCTCACACACACACACACACACACACACCTATGAGCAAGATTTCCTTTCTCTTGACACAAATCTCTATGACACAAATGTCATAAATGATGATCACAACTTCCCGTCTTTGCACACAATAGCTCCAAATGTTAATAATCACTGTGGCACACAGAAGGGCTCCTCATCTTCATCCTCACTCTCACCGTGATGATGAAGATGAGTGTGATGGTGCACATACGAACAAATTACCACTCAATTTGATTGTCAGGCAGGCGTTAAGAGTAAAAAAACCAATGTTTTTCCATTTCTAAGAGACATTATTCACAAATTAAACAGACAATTTGCGAACAATGAGCCGTTGGTGGACTATCCTGTAATGGAAACCCTGGGCACTCAATGTTCCAAAGTATGTACTCAATATTTTTTGTACTCCACGTTTCTTTTGTACCCAATGCACTTCCTGTACTCCTGTAACAGTCACCTGATACCACTGTGGTTTGAAGCTCTCAAGGCCAGAGTGGCTCCAACTCCCTGACTCTCCCAGAGAAACCATCTATAGTAGATCAGAGATGCCCATCGAGTAGAGCGCCACCTACCATTCGATCAGAAAGGGAGTGCTCCTAAATCATAAGCAACTAAAACGAACAATAAAAAAAAAGTAAAACAGCTACAGTACCCAAACATATAAAGTACTTTCTGTTTATATCAGTAAATATGTATTTACTCTTTTCAATGTAATCCATCACTTTAACCTAGTTGTATCAATAGTAGCTCCAAAGCACAAACACCTCTGCTTTATATGAACTCCGTATTTGCTTGTAATTGTTCCTCCTGACCAGCAGGTGTCCCTAATCTAAAGCTTACTACTTCCTCACACTGGTCCTTATTTAGTACATTATCTTTTCTTATCCCCCGTCTCTCTGAGGCACAGACTCTGCAATCCATTCAACAAAACACTTTTCATGCAAGAAAATAGAAATACACAAAGACAAAAGAATGAATTTTTCTCCTATGTCCTCGAGAAGAAACCACATTAGCCACAACACCACTGTGAAATCTTCTAATAGAAAGGTGTTTTTCTTCATAGCAGTTTAATTTTTACAGCATATGTTGGACTTACTGAACTTCTCAACTTCTTCTTTGCTCTCTCTGTCTCTCTGTGATGTTTTCAGTTTAGCCGGTTGTGCTTTAATGAAAAAAGACACAGAAGAACTGTAATTGAAGTTAACAACATGGACAAGTCTCACATGGCCTCTTTAATCACTTTGCATCAACAAGTACACCAGTTTAAAGGGTTGCTGAACTGACTCCAGATATATCCAGTATAGTTTAATTTATCATAAAGCGACACAAGTGACTTCACTGTTAAGGCATGACCATATGCTTTTAGTTCTTAGTGTGAACTAGACAAACACTGATGCTATCTTTAAACACCACTTCATGCAGTTAACGCTGCATGTCACATATACATTTTAAATACACGCTGGCTAAGGGGTGGAGACGGAAAACAGAGCAAAGGAAAAAAACAAAAACCCTGATGATGTCATTACAGCTGTGTTCAGGTAGACTTTTTAAAGGTTTGACTCAATATCCTGGTGCTAACTATGAATATGATGGAGTTCCTATTTGTAGTGGCTCGATCCTGTTTAGTAGAACAAGGTGTTTATACATGTTAGCTCTGCTTATAATAGAGAGCTGTGAACTCTCGTGTCCTGTTTTACTCATAAAGTTAGACCCAATCCAATTTAGAAAAAACTAAAATAAAAAATCCAATCTATAATATGACTGGAGAGGTAGGGTGGTGAGGTAGGCTAGGCTGCGATAGAAACACCTGTTGAAATGCAGCCCCAGGTCATTACAGAGCCTGCTGAAAAATTTACCAAAGGTCTTCATATAATCATGAATGATTTCTTCTGGGTTTTTCCTCAGTCGATTTATATGCAGATTTGCATTTGTGTAATTTTGCTAGTTTAAGTTTTCTCCCTTTTATTTTAATTAAAAACAGATATATACATAATTTACAGCAGTAAATAGTTAATTTCTTTTTAATTTATTTTATATTGTGTTTTTAAAATGTTTAAAAACACAAAAACTTTTCCCTGCCACTTTATTTTCTATTTACTTTTATTTTCTTCTCCAAACAATAAAAAATAAAATGACTGATCACATAAAACTGACCAATCACAGCAATTTAGGGATGTTAAAAGTTGGTAAATTATTTATGAAAAAAAATCACGAGTAATCACAGCTTGTGATTAATCTGATTAAAATTATTAATCAATTGATAGCCTCAATAACTTAAACATTTGAATATATTGTTGGGTTTTAAGGACAATGCACTTGTGCATCTTCAAACAATACAAACGATTCATCAAAGAACAGAAATTTCTGGATGCATCAAGAATTCAAAGTCTGGACTAAAGGATAACAATCCTGACAAATCCTGAAGCCTGGTAATAGTTTAATACCAGTATAGATGATCTATGGGGGCTAACCATACAAACTGAGGGGTCTCTGAGGGGTTTCAGCACATTAGCATAAACACAAAACATCAGGATAGAACGACATTGGCAGCAGTTCTCAGGAACTATCGAAGAAAGTGCAGGAGAGATAAAATGGTGTTTTTTTCTTTTTGGCTTCAAGTGGTAATTAATAGTTTTCTACTTGGCCACAGAGGAAGAGATAAGAGAATCAGCCGAGTTTGAGTGGAAAGATTCAAATGCTGCGTGTGTTCACGACTCTAACGATTAATGATGAAAACATCACGTTTGTATTTAGTATTCAGTTTAAACTGGTGGGTTTGATCTTCAGGATGGAGACTTTGTGTTTGAACAAATTCGAGAAAGTCTTAGAATTATGAAGGATCAAAGACTTACATTTCTAAAATGCAAGTCACACTCACACACACACAATATACATGAATCAAGTCAATGCTCTATGTCTGGCGTTTGGTAATATGCCTGTGTAAAAATGGACATGAAGTACTACGGGGTTTGTTTTTTTTTTTTCAGGCCTACTCTTACAATTAGGTTTCACATGAATAAAAAGCACACTGTGTGCCAGAGCTACACACTATATATAGACATCAGCAGCTTACTGTACATGGTACACACAACCATGTAGTAACACATGACCTGGATTATGAAGAAAAAGGCGTCTATAAATAATCCAGCTGAAAACAGCAGGGCTCTGGGACACTCCAGTAATTTGTACTTTCTCAGTGTGAGCTCGTCAGCGTGGATTTATATTCCTTCAGATGACTCATTTTAATCTGGGTGCACTTCTCTCGGTAAGGGGCACCTACTTGTTTCTGAAGTGGCAAATGTCTCTCTACTTATCCATCTGTCTACCCTGATGATGTGAACTCTGTGGCCGGAGGTGGAGGGGTGACGGGGAGGGAGGAATATTTTAATCACTTTTTTAAAAGATGGACAGGCCTTGCTTACCTCTGGTGCTTTGCGTCTGTTTGCCGTCTTCTAGCATCTGGACTAATTTTGAGAATGTTACAGGCACGTGGTGTATTACAGGGGTAACCAGGGACAGAAACCTGAATAAAGGGTTAGTATTATGTACATGAAAGCTCAGCTGTTACATAACAAGTCATTCTTATAAGAGTTTAAGCATCACAAGCAAATCCCCCACCTCTGTGACCTCGGTCTTTATGGATGAAGAAATTGTCTTAAGGGAATTGTCTTCAGTCACAGACACTAACCTGGATTCAGCTGTCACTCTGCCAGGGCCTTACTGCAAATACGGCTGCACACAAATGTGATCAGTGGAGGGTGCGTCATGTGGTTTGTTCACGTCACTGTGACCTGTGTGATTCAGCGTGCGGACTCGCAGCTCGGCTCGGCCACTGCAGCGGCCCTCCGCCGTGTCCTTTCACACCCACGCTCAGAGGATACGGGAGGAGAGAAGCGAGAGCCAAGCAGAGCATCAATCAGGTCAAGTGGTCCGATTGGTCGGTCAAGTCTTCCTCCTGCGCCACCCTTATTGGCTCGGTGGCTCCGGAGGAGTGTTGCGAGTGGCTGGAGTAGGACAGGCTATGCGTGTCGTCCTCATCCATCACTGCCTTCCTGCCCAGCTGCTGCTGCTG